CCGGCTTCCTGATTACCCGGGAAGTCAGCTCCATGCTCTCTCATCACAAGTGACGAGAGAGCATGGAGCTGACTTCCCGGGTAATCAGGAAGCCGGGTAGCATGCAATGACGCGCTGCCCGGCTTCCTGATAAGGAAGTACTCGTGCTAGGTATCGGAGCATTTGAGCGAGTACGAGTACTCACCCAAATACTCGGTATCGGCACCGATACCGATACTAGTATCGGTGCATCCCTACTTATCTTTAAATTACAAGGTAATGCAGGGCGAGGAAATCAGTATAACCAGCACAGAGTGTAACATATTGGCTCTAAATATCATTATTCTAAAGAAAGTCTTCAGGTCATGTGACCCCTTTGGTTCTTCTGGGGTCTACATGGCTGGGTCAGTGGGCAAGTACTAAGCTGCAGCACGTCACATGTCCTGTTGACGTCAGTGCAGCTTATTTACATCTTCCTCCCCAGGCTGTGTAGAACAGGGCAACCAATCAGCTTCTCTCTTCAGTTTTTTCAGTTAAGATTTGAAAAGCAAAGGGAGGAGCTGCTCCATAATTTATCTGCTCCAGTTTTGATAAATTCCCCTCTTTAAGTATATGCATAGCCCAAACTTTTTAGTAGGGAAGGGTTAAAACTTGTCAGTTTACTTCTTGCTGTCTATATTCCATTGGAAGATTTCCCTTAAATCTGAACAGAGTTGGGGGAGGGGCCCAGCAGGTCCCACCCACTACAGGCTTCCTGCAATAAAACTACAGGAGGGGCAGAGACTAGACCAGTCATCCTGCTTAAGGAGAGAGAGCAGCATTGACTGGTCTTTAATACAGAGGAGACTCCTCCACAGAGGTAAAGTGCAGGAGTTGTTTTATGCTGGAATATAATGCACTGATCTGGAAGAAGTCCACAAAAGACAGCAAGAGTCAAGTAACAACAGACACTTCTCTTGCTGGAATTCAGCTTTAATTAATTTCTGGGAGGCACAACAGGAAATGATAGAAAATCTCTCCAAAGTAAGTGGAATTCAGATTTTTATCATTGGAATTGGTTTCTTCATTGGAGCATTTGCTCTCACCTCTTGTTCTGGAGAAAAGGCTAACATTTTGGATTTCCCATAATTTCCTGTCCAAGTAACAATGGTCACCAGGACAAAAAGAGAGTAAAGCTGGCCACACACTGCTGGAATTTCGGGTGAAGTAAGTTCGAGCAGTGTGTGGCCCCCTGGGGACACAACTGTTGGACAAAATCGATTTTTCAATCAACTTTTGTCAAAGTAGTCGGTTGGAAAATCCTTGGCCAAACAGTGACTGCGGTGAATCAGCACTGTTCAGGTATTCTGACAGCAACACATCCCCAGCTGACAGAATACATGAAATAATGTTCAATTCACTAAACAGGTTGCTAAAAATGCTAAACAAGATGGATGGGGGAATTGAGCATGTTTTCTCTTTTGGGGGCAGAGAGAGAAAAAATGGCCATTGTTCGGTCAACTTAAATCCGTTGGTTATGTGTTTAGATGAAGCACTGAGATCTTGAGGAATGCTCAATTAAGTTTTACTTGCTTAGGAGAACATCAGAATACAGCACTGTGCAGGAAACATATATCTAAAAGAACTTCCTGTGAATCATAGATAATATCTAAAAGAACTTCCTGTGAATCATAGATACGTATGCACATAGAGACTAACATTGCACTAGAGCGCCATCTACAGTTCAAAAGACAAATCAGTATATGCTGTTGTATTTCCAACAAAATCTACCTAGGGCACAAAACCTGCCAGGGGTTTTTAACCCTTCCCTACTCCATCTAACGCTAAAGTAAAAAAAAAACTTGGGCTGTACATACACTTTGGTCTGTTAGTGGTCAACCCTGTTTCATACAGAATTCACTGTGTGTACAGGCATGCTGGAGTTTCATCAATATGTCAGGGGCAGCCTCTGTGCAGTTTTCTAAGAGGTGTCATATAAGTTTAAAGGAAAGGTGCAAGTTTTCCACTGCTGATTAATCAGAATTGACAGCCAGGCTTTAAAAGATAAATGTGATTTCTACATGGAATCAGTCTGCAATACTGTCATCTTATGTCACCTGCAAGACATTGAAGGGAATTCATCAAAACTGGAGCAGACAAAATCTGGAGCAGCTGTGCATGGCAACCAATCAGCTTCTCTCTTTCATTTTCAAATCTTAACTGAACATACTGAAGAGAGAAGCTGATTGGTTTGCTATGCACAGCTGCTCCAGATTCTGTCTGACTTAATTTTGATCAATTATGCTTATTGACTATTACTGCTGACTTATTTAAATCTAAGAAAAGGAAAGAAAATAAAGGGCAGAAGTGACCATTCCGATCAAACTTTCTATGGGGAGCACCATCACTTTAGTTCCCTTATCTTTTATCTTATTGTTTTTATGAATTGCTTTCTTTACAAATGTTATGGTATAGTGGATCAAGGACTTTTGCTCCAGATTTCATGCATCACCCTTTAAACTATATTTGTATTGTCCCCATAATACAGGGTAATTGTTGTGAGCGCTTGTTCGGAGCTTCCTCAGTGCTGAGGACAGAAGAGCGCCGCATTCACCCGCATCACTCCAGCCCTAATAAATGTTCTCTGCAATCGCATTTCTCATTGCTGCTGGTTATTTCGTTGTTAATATTAATATTATTTTATAATGTCATAATAATGTGTTATTCAGTCAATATTCACAACTGTCAGATGGGAACTAAATGCAGAGGCAACTGCAAACCAAAAAGCGGAGTAAAAATGAATGACTATTTGCCTGGAGGTGGGATGCAGCAGGAGGTCTTCTCTCTTTTATTTCTCCTTTCTTTACCATTTATTTAACACATGACTTGTCACCAATAATGACACATATAGGAAGTCGCGCTGTGCAAGGTTTATTATTATGGGGAAAACATTGTAGGATGACATAAGGAGCTCTCCTGGAATAACGTTGGAGCGGTACACAATGGTGGCAGCCACACATTCACTGTCTCATTCACCTAAAGAGTCGTTTCCACATAGTCTGGCTCAAGTGAATTTTTTTTTAAAATACATTTCTTGAATCGGATTGAATAATTAAAATGAACTTATGAGCAAACTGATTTCAGAGCAACATTTTCAGATTTGCCAAAGTGGAATCTCTGAATTGTGCTCATTGAGCTGCTCAGACGGAATTTCTTTTTTACTTTTTTATTTCCTTTATTTCCAATTTGTGTGTTTTTTGTGTGTGTGTGTGTGGTGGTGGTGTCCTAATTAGGGTCCTCAATTTTATTTTATACAGTGTTCCTTGTATTTTTCTTTCCTTTTTTGTGTATCTGATTGTCATTTGTGTACTGTCACGTTGTGTGTTTGATTGTTAATTGCGTATTGTAACTTTATTTCTGTTTATTTTACTTTCTTTTTCTGCTGGTTTTTTTTTCTTTTAATGGAAAAAAAATACATAAATTAATCAAGTTAATAAGGGACAATTGTTTGGCACAAAACCTATTGCACCTTTAGAAACCACTTTATTTTGCTTCCTTCTTGCTGACTACAACGCATTCCACTATGGTCATTTTTGGGGCAAAATCTGAGCTTTCTTATGCGGAATAAAAAAGAATCAGTTTTTCGCACCTTTGTATATGGAAATAATATACTTAATAAATATCCATCACGTAATGTTATACTGTCATATTATTTGTGACAATGCAGAAAATATTAGGCAATAGCATTGATTCACCTATTTGTTAACATCAAACAGGCAACAGAGGAGTACAACTATAAATTATTAATCGGAATATCACCTTGGACATATATTTTTACTAATGAATTAATGCTGAATCAATTAGAACTAGGTGGGGATGCTTCAATAACCAGACAGTGGTGTCATTGTCGGTTGTTTCGGGTAAACTTGTACCACCTTGAAAGATTATTTTTTTTATTATTACTATTATCATCATCATCATTATTATTGTTATTATTATTATTATTATTATTATCATCATCATTATTATAAATATGATTATTATCATCATTGTCATCATTATTATTATTCCGGGTTTATAAAGAGCTAACAGTCTGCGCAGTGCTTTACAAGGAAGGTATTACAGTTACAATACAATTCAATTCAAGATAGTTGGGATCATTATTATACCAGATCCATTCCAGTAAAGCAGTGATTATGTATAACAATTAGCTAATGATGGCATGGTGATTTCTCAGTTCAGCCTGCAGAATGATTTTGTCTTTGCAAACACACGGGTCATTTCTCTCATTTCTGTGACTGTGGTTGCTGCTGCCGCTGATAATCTCACATGTGAGACGCTGTGGGAATGATCTGTGTTGTGCCCTGATGGCACTCTCATAGGGGAAGGTGCAGAAGGTGACCATCTGCTGCTATGTTTTTGGGGTGATGAGGATTTAGAGGGAGGTTACAGGTCCTCCAGGTAGAAGGGGGAGGATAGATATTTCTCTAATTTCTGTGACTGTGGTTGCTGCTGCTGCTGATAATCTCACATGTGAGACACTGTGGCATTGATCTGTGTTGTGCCCTGATGGATCTCCCATAGGGTAAGGTGCAGAAAGTGACCGGCTGCTGCTATGTTTTTGGGGTGATGAGGATTTAGAGGGAGGTTACCGGTCCCGCAGGTAGAAGTGGGAGGATAGAACTTCCTGCAGGCTTGTCATGTGGGCGTGGCTTTGTTGGCAGCGCCTGCCTGTGCTTCTGCTATTGGTGGGAATGTGATAGGAGGTGTGGGGGGGAGGAGCCTGTGCACATGTTCTGCTCTGCTAGGTGATACGCCTTATCCCAGCACAGCCTATGGACTTCGCCCGTTGCTGTATGCTCGACACTGACACCTGAGTCTCGTCTCAGCCACCCCGCTCCAAATCTGCATAGAGAGGAAGAAGCCAGCACAAGGCTTATTCTTACCTAAGGAGGTGTCAGCAGTCACAGCCATCTGGGGACATCAGAAGATCCGGAGCGATCATTGTAGACTACAAGGAGGTATTCTGTGTAGAAGAGGGATGAGGACTGGCACACACTGACTCCCATGTTCTGCTAATGCTCTGCCTGTAATTGGCCCCAGGGGCAGCACCATGTTCCTGCCTCCAGCCAGGAAAGGATTCTCTATAGAGGCATTGGTGGGTCCGGACAGGAGCCCAGAAGAGCCTCTTAGACCCACTGCTTTAAAGTACCCAGAAGTTGGCCACGGGCTAGCCCCTGCCCACCTCCGCCCTGGGATCCGCTTGTTCGGGGCCCCAGATCTGGTATTCCCGGAGCCCGCAGCTAACCCCTATGGGCATGGTCTTGGCATCCACCAACACCGCTTACTGCACAGGGATCCGCTCAGCTTCTGCCCCTGGATCCTGAGACATCGGCTACCTGGTGAGTAGACTTCTGGCCCCTGTGACCCTGCACACAATCCAAGCTCCACGAATCCTAAATGAAAATATGTAAAATGACCACTCATAGCTTTATTACATCTAGATCTACACGACCCATTGGACGTCTATATGTTCTTGCAATGTAGTCTGTCATTAGGCTAGAGGTGTAAAAGTGACATTAGGGAAATATGTTTGTCCATGATATTACTTTTACTTCTTCAGCACAACTATTAATAATATCCATAAAATCGGGTGGCCCCTGACTTGAGGACTTCAGTTGCATGTCACCTTTCCTAAATAGTCAGCTGCTATTTTGAACTAAATTGTTCTTAAAGTGACAACAGAGAAATATGTATCTCCATTATCTCTCCTTCATTTCTAATCAGACTCAGCAACAGAACTGATAACATCCATAGATCTAACCATTTCCAAGGTTGTGCAGAGGAGTTGTGTCACCTTCCCTATGTAGTCTTTATTTCTGATCAGACCAGAGGACTCAGCAACAGAACTGATAACATCCATAAACCTAATCACCTAATGGCTGTGCAGAGGAGTCGTGTCACCTTCCTATGTAGTCATTATTTCTGATCAGACCAAGGGACTCAGCAACAGAACTGATAACATCCATAAACCTAATCACCCCATGGCTGTGCAGAGGAGTTGTGTCAACTTCCTATGTAGTCTTTATTTCTCATCAGACCAAGGGACTCAGCAACAGAACTGATAACATCCATAAACCTAATCACCCCATGGCTGTGCAGAGGAGTCGTGTCACCTTCCTATGTAGTCTTTATTTCTCATCAGACCAAGAGACTAAGCAAGTCTGATCACTGAGCCCATAAACCTAATCACCCCATGGCTGTGCAGAGGAGTCGTGTCACCTGCCTATGTAGTCTTTATTTCTCATCAGACCAAGAGACTAAGCAAGTCTGATCACTGAGCCCACTGGGTCATTAAAGATTGGCACCTTAGACTGGCACCCTTTCTCACATACCCCCATTCCTTTACCGCAAATGTGCACCCATGTAATCTGCAAGAAGCAGAGCTGAGCCCATAAACTTACACGTCATACCTTTTCCTCCCTTTTTATAAGCACACTGCTAAGCATATCCTCCTTACACAGATCCCCCTGTGCAGGGCACAGTACACACTAACTGGCATCTGTACACACCCAAACGGGAATACAGCCAGGAAAATCCCAGAGCTAAAGCAGAAAACATTCCTGAGCACAAATTCAAACTTTTATCTATGAATGTCCTTCACATATGCTGTCATCTCCAAAAAGTCAACAAAGGAACCCCCAGATTTGTACACTACAGTTATTCTCTAAATTCTGGCAGCCTGAGAATTAGCTAGTGTAGGACTACAAGTACCAGCAGGCTAGACTTCTAACTTTCTACAGTGCCTGGCTTTATTTAATATGGGTGCAGGTTCTCATTTAGAATAATTTATATGGCAGGACAGAGCTGCTGGAAACAACAACAAAGAGCAACATGCTGCACGTGTTAGTATGCCCACTACTGGACAATGGAGGTTTAGAAGTCTAGTCTGCTGGTAATTGTAGTTCTACATCAGCTGCCTAGAATTTACGGCCATCATTTCATAGATGTATATTCCAATCAGATCTATTAGTTCATCTGCACAGTGATGTATTGCCAAGGAGGTTCTGGAGATCTCAGACCTTTAAATAATAACAATTCGCATCAGAAAGCTGAAATAAGGAGATGTAAAGGCTGTCAGGATAAGGAGCTATCAGGGATCGATTTACATCGGGCGATCATTGAACAAGTGCACGATCTGATGTCAGGCATAGATATGCAGAAAGAGGCGAACGTCCCTCAATTGTCACATTGTATATTATATTATATTACACTATTGTGTATTGGCATTCTGCACTTAAAATTTAGACACATATGCCATGGCACATGGTATACATCTGACCTGTTTTACAACACAACACTCACATGTGCCAGGATTCTTATATTACATTCTAAATACATTCATACTGGGTAGAAGAATATACTGGCAACATACATCTAAAATATACATACACATTAAACTTTTGTGAAAGTTCCTCATATGAATTTCCTGGATCTCAGACGTTTATCTCATAACGTTATAAATATATATCTATAGATATATATATCTATAGATATGTATATATCTATAGATTATATATATGTTTATACACACTGTGTAATACAGCGAATTTGTGTCGGTGTATACAGTGGCCATGAGAGAGCCATGTAAAGAGAAATCGGAAGAGGTAATAAAACGCCTAGAAATGAATAGGGCCGTACAAACACCATGCGTCTGCTGGAGTTATTCTGAAGAGTATTCCTAACCACATCATTATACAGTAACTGTAATGAAAGGAACTCGTAGCCTGGTTTATTTCTTGTTTAATGGTTACATCTTTCTCTCGTTTAGAGTAATCGCTAGTGATTGTGTAAATAGTCACATATTCCTGACAGGTCTTGTGTGCAGGTCTTTCAGATTGTTGTCTGATAGCATTGTCTGGAGTATATACATTGTTATTACGTATTTATATTATATTAAGGAGAATATGTAACTACTATAGAACGACTCACAGTAACATTGTATCAGAAACCTTGTTTTTACTCATCTGTCTGTAAGCCCCGACTTTGTATCCAGCCATGTACTGTATGCACAAATAGTATAAATCATTCTTATTTCTAGTTTATATTATATAGTGATAAGATAGATAGATAGATAGATAGATAGATAGATAGATAGATAGATAGATAGATCAGTGCACAGCAGGCTACTTTAAGGGGATACTGCAGGCTTGCCATGCTGGGGGTCATTCAGCAGCCCTGTATGTAAAATACTGTAATCGCTATGCAGATATTGGGTGATTATGCTGACAAGCTAGTTTGGGCTCCAAACCAAAGAAGAGACAGCAGTTAGCATTCTGACACTTCATAACAAAGCTAACCTTCTGTCATTATATTACTCGAGAAAACCATTATTTCAAGAGAGTAAACTCAATGTGGCATTTGTACCTGGTTTTCCAGCATGACCATCCCAACCCATGCTGTGTTAAAACTTTCTTATTGATAATACCTACTGAGTGTTGGGAGGAGTATTTATATATTCTTTGTCTATTTCCATGCTATAGATGGAGAAAGATTACTATGCATTTATTTATTCTAGAATCTAGGAGGCCAGTAATTAATGAGCATGTTTTCAAAAGCAGGAAAGCATTTAATGAAGCAATGACCTTAGAACAGATTGTTTATGCAGATATGTTTTACACAGATTCACACTTTATATATTTTCCGCTTAAAATACCTTGCCTGGTACACAGCAAAACATAACACAGTTGAAGAAAAAGGCTGAAAATATGCTCACTATAGATAATAAAGCTGAGAATATGCTCACACCGCAGCTATTACAAACTACAAACGCATAAAATTTTATTCAGTTGATGTTTGATCAAAAAAAAAAAAGTTTTAACATAACTTTTACAGTTTTAAAACACATTTGGCCTATTTACAAATGTGTCTCAGTAAAATGTGTCTGTATGGTCGGTCCCAAAGAAGCAAGTTATATTTAAATCCACAACAGAAAATGACAGTTTGAAATTGAAAGTTTTATTTGAGACACATTAATAAATAAGGCCTGGTGCTTCTACCTGCACCTCTATTAAGAACTATATATTCTCTCTAGTAATTAATTTAATGTTTTCTTGAATGAATGGTGCCAACGTATATGATTTTTAAAATATATCTTAAACATGGATTGTATTTATAAATATGGATGTGTCTTTCCTATCTTGGGATTTATCTATGATTTAACCTTGCTTTCTATAATGTTTGTCACTTTGATGTGCCCGATTTAAATACAAAATTATTTTTTTTGCATCATTCTGTATCATAAGCACCTTGGTACCTCTTATTAAAGGCTTAGAAATCACATAGAGTAGTTATGTCAGGAAATTTTCGCTCTAGCTTAACCCGGTTGTCATTTTACCAATTTTGGAGGAGAATTGTAAGTCCGGGTTTTGGGTGTCCTGAATCCTTCTTCATCAATCTTGACGTACAGACACACTTGTATCACCCATTGGCTGGCATAAGATGGCAGTGAGATCTGATGTCTAAATGAGGGGTGGGCAAACTCTGGCCCTCTAGCTTCAGCACAACTAGAAACCCCATCATGTATCTGTCTCTGGGAGTCATGCCTGTGGTTGTGAGAATCTTGCAATGCCTCATGGGATTTGTAATTCCACAAGAGCGGGAGGGCTGGAGTTTCCCACCCATGGCCTAAATTATATTTTCAATTATATTTTCTTGAACAGATATGTGCAGCACATGTACACTTTTTGTATATGCGTACAACAATAACATTTGGCTGGGAATATCTAATTTGGCCAATGGACATCTGGCCTTGCAGAAATTATTAGTCAGCGCTCAGCGGTGTCTAATGTGATCTTAAGGTACCCATAAACCTTACTATCCTCTCCCAATCTGGTTGCACTAACAGTGAACTCCCAATTTGGTTATGATCATCTCATGTCTATAGGTAAAACCTTTTTTTAAAATAATATTTCTTTATTATTTCTATATATAACAATAGAAACATATAAACATGTAAGCATCCTGTTAAGGGACTCTCACAGGAAGAAATCCAATCAAAAACAAAAGAGAAAAATATTAATAACTTCTTCCTAAAACAACCACCATCGATGCCTATAGGTAAAATTGTATCCTGCTTGCAAAATGCTATATTCCAAGATCTGTTATGGTAATGAAGATGACGAGGATTCAATCACCACCACCGTAATCACCATTTACCAACACAACAATATACATTTATATAATAAAAAAGGCACACACTTTCTTTGAGTTACCTCCCCTTAGGCCCTCCTGGGGCCCCCAAACATACAAAAAGATGACAGCGTTCCTTGCCTGACAAAGAACACTTAAAGGGCTTGAAATGTAGTGATGTCTCTACAGAGGTTTTGGGTTTTTTTTACTG